GTGTGTGTGTGTGTGTGTGTGTGGCGTGTGGCGTGTGTGTGTGTGTGTGTGTGTGTGCGTGCGCGCGTGTGTGTGTGTGTGCGTGTGCGTGCATGCGTGCATGTATAGTTTTCTTAATTGTAAAACAAACAAAAGTACTGTTATTTGTAAAAAAAATATATGTGTGTTACAATTATATTATTCTATTTTAAATTGTATTTTAAGATAGCTAAGATACAAAAATATCTATTGAAATTTGCTTTTTTTCCAACACAATTAGAAAAGATTAGATTAGATACGTAAGAGATTTTTTATTTTTTGCATGTTCTAATATTAATAATTGGTCTTTGAATTCTGAAATTTTATTTCTTGCATGTTCTTCTAATATCAATCATTTGGTCTTTGAAATCTGAAGTTTTAGCAATTTACTTCAATATTTAATTTATCTTTTTCGAATTATAATATCTTAAAAAACATGAAATTGATTATATCTCTTGTTTATTGTGTTGATGAATGAACTTTACTGAGATTCTTCAGTAGTGTTGAAAAACGTGTATTCTAATTCTCTCACAAATTCTTTCATCTAATGACTTTAAAATTATCTAATGTTTTCAAATTTTAGAGATAAATTTTTGTAAATACAGATATTTTAAGTGCAAGGTAACAATTTAAAATAATATGCTGGTTTTCAACCTTGAAATTTAGCTTTATTTTAATTTGTTTTTACAATCACGAGCTTGTATTTATAGTATTTGCATTAAAATAACATAATTATAACACACATATTATACACGCGTGCGCGTGTTCGCGATGATTATTTTATTTCAAATGGTGTATTAAAAATGTGTCACTATTATATAGTTCCTACAAAAGTTTGAAATTGTAAATGTTAATATTTACTTTTTTTTCGTATAAAAAATGAATACTAAAACTATACATAGTATAACAATTAATGTGTGAAAATACCATATATATAATTATTTAGCAAACTGAATTCAATTTTTTTCTAGGTTATTTACTGTATTTATTTTTATTATTTTTTATTGTTATAATTTTTAATTAAAAAATTTAATTAAAAAATAAAATCTTTATTTGTATAACTATTTCAAGTATTCGAGATGATTTATGTAACATTTCATTACGATGCAAAGATTAGTTGTTTTGCAAATAAATAAATAAATAAAGTCTTGTGTATTTATAACACAAATTTCTGTATTGCAATTTTTTACATTTCTATATTGAAGTTTTATATAAATAATCTTGATTATTTAAAGTACTTATATAGAACATTTTTTAAATTTTTAACCTTATTTTTTAAGTTGAAGTATTATAACAATAAGGAAATAACAAAATACAGTAATTAAACTGTAGCAATGTGTTGTTAAATAAATGTATGATGTTATTCACATAACTGTTCCCTAGTGCATATTTTATGTGAAAAGTATAAGCATTAATACATTTCCAATATGCAAACTTTGCAGAAACCATATATATTTATTGATACTTATTTGATAATATTTTGTCTTATTATGAAATTGTTCAAGATACTGACTTATTGATATCAATCGTCTATTATTATTATTATTATTATTATTATAACATACAAATATTGTCCTTTTACATGTCGGAAATATCACAATTTGTATCTCATTTTTGTCGATCATTAATAAAATTAATAATTATTTATTGTAGATTAATTATCGCAAAACTATTTTTAAATAAATTCAAAATGAATTCTAAATATTTATGATGTAAAATTATATCATAAATAATGTTGTTTTAATAATAAATTCCCAATAAATTAAGCCGAAAGTTTTACCTTTATGTTTTCTGCTGAGAAATATATATTATGTATATTGAATAATGTATGGATTAATTATGTGTTTTTGCACTATTTTGTTATTATTATTATATGTATGTTAGGATATGCTTGAGAGGTGAAAATAATATTTACCTTTACGAGGCTATTTACTTAAATTGCATTAACTAATTTGCCAGAATAGATAATTTAAGATCTTAGCGCGACAATAACAAAGAAATTTATTACGTGGGACTTTATTAAAAGAAAGAGAGAAAGAGTCAGAAAGGGAGAATATCAATTTTTATAATATATGACACATCATTATTAACCCGTAAAGAACACCACAGTGCGAATTCGTACCCACAAAATTTTCAACTTGTGGGCATTTGCAATGAATTTGGCGGTCTTCCTCCACTACGTGAATATATTTGTACTTTATTGTTTGAAGTAGAAAGGTCCCGAGGATCATTTGCGCCTTAGCCATTGCTTGAGGCACATTGAAAGTTCGTTTGGATGCCAAAAAAACTTAAACTTTTTACTATCAAAAAAAATTTATTTATATTTTATTCAATTAAAACTATTTTTTACTTAAAATACAACATTTTATTAACAAAATCCAGTAAGGTTTGTATTATTTTATTAAAAACTAAAAAAATGGCAGTTATTTATTGAAATAACTTTTTTTCTAGGTTTTCCAAAAATGGTTTTGTTTAACACGTAGTTTTGAAAACAATTACGTTCTTTGTTAAAAAATTTAATGTTACCAATCGATTGGTCAGAAAATTTTACATTAAAAAATCTATGCTTTGCTTTAATTTTGCTTTTTATTTTCAGAAGATATAAAACTAAAAACGCTTGGTGCGAATTTGCACTCAAGATGTTCTTTATGGATGTTCAAATGAGACGTAGCCTTTACGGGTTAATAGACCTATGGGAACATTGATATGAATAATTTTTCTTACTGTAGAGAATACGATATTCATTACCATATAAATGTACGCATGTGATATAAATATTGTTTTTAAGGAATGTCTACATGATAATAGTAAAGATATGAAATAAGCAATCTGCCATAGTAACAAAAATATAAGATATTTTATGTTAGTTGTTAAATATTCTTTTAAATAAAAAATTTTAAATAAAAATGTAATACTCTTAGACTTATATTAGAGAATATGCTTATACATTATATATATGTATATATATATATATGTATACATACATGGTGTCCCATTTTATATTTGGCAGTCAAATATTTGGAAATCGCGAGGTTTGAGAGAAAAATGTTTCAGACAAAAGTTTTGGGACTTCGAGGGGGACATAAGATGATAACATTGGTTTGATCTTGAGTGGCATCAAGGTCAGGACAAGGTCACTTTGAATTTTTTAAATGGAACTCCCTATTTTTTATTGCATATTCTTGTAGCTTATTTCGAGAGCTTTGAGACCAAAACACATGGATAAAATGTATTTTGGTTAAGTAAGTCTTGAGTTATTAAGCTTGAAAGTTACAGACGTCTATTAAACTGACAGTCACTTTAGCACAATCGAATAAAACATAAACAGAAATTTAGTGCTCTTTTGATGCTAATTTGATGCTCAATTCCCGATTTTGATGCTCCAGCCGATTCGTAGAAATCAATGGCTGTGCTAACTTAAGATTAAAGTTAG